CTAAAGCCTAAGCTCCCTAAACCCTTACCATGGCCTCAGCCTAGGATTCCTCACCCTCGCAGATTCGACAATTCGCCCTGGGGCTCAGACCCAGGACCCCGGGGAAAGCCACAGGGTTTAGGGTTAAGGGCTTATAAGGTTGGTTTAGGGCTTTAGGGTTTAGGATTTAGGGTTTAGGGTTCAGGGTTAGGGGCTTAAAAGGTTAAGGGTTAAGGGCTGATAAGGTTATGGGTTAAGTGTTAAGGGCTTATAGGGTTAAGGGTTAAAGGTTAGGGTTAAGGGCTTCAGGTTTAGGATTTAAAGGATAAGGGAGAATGTTTGGGGTTTAGGGCTTAAGGTTTAGGATTTCGGGTTAAGGGCTTAAGGTTTAGTGTTCAGGGTTTTATGTTAAGGGCTTAAAGTTTAGGGTTTAGAGCTTAAGGTCTAGGGCTTACTTAGGGTTTAGGGCTTAAGGTTTAGGGTTGAGGGTTTCAAGGACTCCCTTGTAAGAAGATGTTGGGATAATGCAGGGATATAGGGGCTCTAACGGATGTTTTTTTGGTCCCCAATGGAGAGTTGGGTGTTTGTCACGATGCACATTGAATCCTGTTAGGTTCAGCTACCAACAAAAAACGCCCCTCTAACCCCGTCAGAATCATGACATGTGCATATTTCTGAGGTCACGCTGTTTTACTTGAAAGGCGACCCTGGAATCCTCATATAATCCCAACACCCCTTGGGGCTCTACAGGCACCCTGTGTCGAGAAGCCCCTACGGACGAAAAGCAGAAACCTCTTCCTTCCTGGTCGGGATCCCGTGCCACCCGGGCCCTTTTGAATCCCGCCACGAAGCATTCAGCACTCATGGGACGTGCCCCAAAACTTGGGGTTTACAGGAGTCCAGACTCATAGTATCAATGGTACGGTCAAGGGTTGAAGGCATGTATTTGTCTAGCCACCACGCTCATCTTGTTGTGGCCTTCTCGGGCTCTACGTCCACATCAGAAGGTATTCGACGTAGAAGCTCATATAACTACTGTTCTTATTCATAAATATATCCCAGCCTCCATTTCAGTTAAGTACCCCCTGCATTACTGTACCTTGTTGACTCTAAAATCTACACAGAAGACCCAGAAACAGGCCAAAGACAACTTGGTGAGCGAGTGTACAAACATCGGCCTGATCAGTGCCCTCATGCTTACGGTGGTGGTGCCTATGTCCTACGAACATGTTGCGGATTGGCGTCGCGGATCCATTTGTTTTTTTGCAGTTGCTGAATATACAACCAAAACTTGCGGGTACACATCTGAGCTGTATGCTGAACTCCTTGAAGCCAATTATATAGGGGACCATATAGGATTTTTATTTCAGGGTTTCTGGAGGATGCTGGTCGGATTTTTTTACTATAGCCCATACACCTTTTGGAATTCCTACTGTTGTGGCAGGATCGCTAAGAGAGTGCCCCAAAGCCCCGTTTGGCCTCCCGCCCCGAATCCTGATCTTGTTTGAGAAGACCTCGTTTGGAGGTTCTCGACATGGAGGTCTCCTGGGTGTTTCTAGAAAAACAAGTCTGTACATGTTTGCATGCATAGATAGAGATACACGCATATGTGTATATGTATTTATGCATGTGATCAAGGGCCTACTTTGCCGTGCAACTAATTACTAACATTGTGGTCTTACGTTCCTTGCATAAACATCGTATAGGGTATCTCAAATAGACTGCAGCTACTTTGGTACTTCATCATTTCAGCACCTATAGTATACGTATGTACATTTCATTAAATTTCTAGCCTAGAATAGCACCCTCCCTGACCTCCTTTGAGAACCACACTCTGAAAATCCCTCAGTAGGATGCTCCTTCATCCCTGCACTAGCACGGAAGCCTTGTGTGGTAGTCTTTGTGGGCCCCTTTTGGGTCAATTTTGATTTGGGGCATGGGTGTGCAGTATAAGGACAAGGCTTTGGCGTTTAGGGTCTAGGCGTGGGAAAGCTATAGCTTGGCAATACCTTATAGTTCCTACCTACTTACTACGATCAGCACTAGCGTGTCGCAGTATATCTTAGGAGGACCCCACACCCTTGGATTGTGGTATAATAAGAAGAAAAGAGGACCCTAATATGATCCCTATTATCCTTTATAGCCACTATTACCGGGTGGGGGGTCCACCTAACGTATATTTACTTAGTCTCCTGAGGAGTCCCATAGTAGCTAGGGTGGCTGTGTTGTGCTTACTGGAGGTTCGGGGTTGCCTTTTAAATACCCACAGAATAGAACCGCAAGCGAAGAGACGACACAAAGCCGCCTCAATTTTGCAAAGAGACAAAAATTACCCTTTAACCCTAAACCTTAAACCCTAAACCCTAAACCTAGGCTGGAAGCAGACTTTCAGGGTAGCGGATTCGCGTTTCTGGACGGCTACATCGGACAGAAGCTTACCTGCCCAGCGAGTCCGTAATTTGTTGGGTTATGGATTATAAAGTCATCTCAGTTTGAACCCCAACCTTAAGCGTCTGCACACCCAAGGAAGTTGGGTGAAGCGGCAGTACAGCATGCGGCAGCCACTTTGAACGACGTGGCCGGGGCTTGCACTAGAGGTTTTGTTGCTTACTGGTGGTAAGCCTGGAACGACGCAGTAGCGGAGTAGGTTGCCTTTAGCGCTTTCGGTCTTCGCAATGCTGTAGACGTAAAAAAAGTTCTGAAGCCAGGATATAGGGATTAGTAGATGAATATTCGGTGTTCGACTCACTGAGCCATCGTCTTATTTTTCTATTTACTCCCAAGAGCCCAAGAAATGGAATTAGTATTCTTAATAATCTCCCGGCGTAGAACTCGTATCTAGGTGCCGTCGGTCCTGCTGTTGTTGGGGTTCCTATAATAAGGATCATGGCACTTGCGGTTATATGTTGTGTACAGGGGACACGCATGAAAGGTGAGGGTTTGGGGTGCCTGTACTTCAAGGGCTTGAGGCACTTGATGTTCGAGCTCTTTTTAACGGTGGTCTAAAGAGATCCTGAATCAATCTGCCTCTGTGCTGAGGTCTCTGGGGATTGAATTAAAGGGAAAGGTATGGACTGATTGGCCGCAAACCCTCTATGCTTCTTCCAAAATATCCCAGACTCCGGATTAACAAGCCCCCTCCCTTTAATAGGCAATATAATGTGATCCAAATATTAAGGCCCTTAAAAGGAGGAGGTTTCTTAATCATGGGTCTACAGTACCCTGAACATAAATGCCACAGTTTAAACAGCTGAAGCAGCCGTGTGATGAGTTTTCGGGATAATTGAAAAGAAAGTGAAAGCT